AAAACCTAGTTTGCTACGTTGTTCGGTATTCCATTATACCAAAGATCAAAGAAATAGCCTACTACGCATGTATAATAATCTACGCAATAGACACCCTCTAGTTCCCACACACAGAAAAGATTTAGTCCCATTGAAACATAATGAAAATCAAAAGCAGATGTTCGTGTGCTCCCGACAATTGTATCGTACCCAAACATAAAATCGAAGTGAACAGTGACTCAAAGTGTCGTGTATACACGTGATTGGACATTTACTTGTTCCCAATCGAAGCTTGGATACCATACCTAAAGCAACTTGAGGAATGTAAGGCTTTATGTCAGCTGGTTTCAACGATGTGGCCAACGGAGTACTTGGCCCGTTCACCAGAACCGAACCAATATAATTTAACAGCTTCTGGGCACGGTTCTGACTCGGGTGAAATTGGAATAACTGCGGATTCTCGTCGATGAAGTACGTGTCGACGTTTCCATTGAGGAACTTTTGATTTTCTAGCACGTTCAAGAGGAATGGGATGTTGGTTTTCACTCCGCGGACTCGGAACTCGCGAAGAGCACGGTTCATTTTCGCACAAGATGATTGCAAGTCGCCTGCGTGAGCTATAACCTGAGAACATAAATAAAAGAGTGACAGCACTCTTTATGATAAAAGAAAACAAGACTTTCGTTGGTCTTGCATTGTGTAATGGTATTAGTACTACTATTTAGTTCTGAATTATGGTGTTGTAGAGATTAAATATAAAATAAAGGACAAGGTAACGAATACAAATTAATAACTAATAAACCCGGTCACCACTCAAAAAAAACTCCTTTTCACAACTCAATCAACCCTGTCTTCGATTTGTCAACTCTGTTCCACCATTCGATTGACTGTTTCTTTTTCTTTTTTTTTTTTTTTTTTTTTTTTTTTCAAAAAGAAGAACGACTCACGTCGCGCTTCTACCACTATATTCATACTTTTCCTTTTTACACGAATTTAGCTTCACTCAGCAAACACTACAGGCTGTCTGGTATAATTAAACGCATTACAATTAAAAGTTATGACTTAAACCTACAATGTTACAGTATCAACAAGTTTTCTGACTCTAAGAAGAGCAAGTTTAAGACTGACAGTCGCTGATAAATTATGGATTTTCATGCATTTATAAAAATATATAAAATGTCCCGAGTAACATGTAATACGGAAAGCAATTTTCTGTTTTTTTAATTGCACGAGGGTGCACATCATTCGATGTTTATAGTCTGAAGAGATATCAGAGATTGAGATCTATAGAAAAATTTTGACCTTTTATAAAAAAAAAAATGTATAAAGCACAGTTTAATGTTACAGCCTTTCTTTAATACGATGCATACTACAAATTGAATTGATAAATTTATAAATGATCTGAAAAGAAATAATAGCTCGTTTCTTAATTAAAAAAAAAAAAAAAAAAAAACCATTTTTTTTCTGAGAATATAACAAGGGTATAAAAACTTATACAAAAAAGAAATAACAAGAGAACTATACTGAAAAATGATATATTATTGCAAGAAGCCTTTAATTATCTTTACCTTGACGAGAAGCGAATCGTAGTAAGGTGAGATAATGGCTCCAGCGAATGCGGATGCACCATCCAATCGAATACCCATACCTTCTCCAGAACGGAACACTTCGATTCTTCCAGTATCCGGTTGGAAGCTCTTCGCAGGATCTTCCGTTGTCACACGGCATTGTATGGCGAAACCCTGGGGAATAATCTTCTCCTGAGTCATACCCAGCTCAGGTAACGTAATACCCTCAGCAATACGGATTTGAGATTGCACCAAATCGATTCTAAAAAGAACATAATCTTGCGTTGGTCTGATAGAAATTATAAGGGAGATTGATATAGGAGATTGATACAGATGTATGAAATTTGTTGTTGAAACTGTTTATTGTAATATGGAGTCGTTTGAATGCAAGATAATTTAATTACAATTTTCGCCAAATTTTTCTATGGAAATGTTTTTATGCAATGACTTTATGAAGTAATACAGTATATGTATTCTTGATATGTAAGGTGAAATCAATGCATATCACGTGTGAAATTGACTCGTGTAAGATGTGACCAAGAATATTAATTGTAAGTACATAGATTAAGTCTCTATAGTATCATAATTTGAAATTACATAATTCTCTGTTATTTTATCTTGGAAGATATATGTTCATTTGTCCATATTTTGCAAATTTCATTCTGTATACTTATTGCTTTTTTATTATATTTCATCAATGTCCTATTGTAAAAATACTCAGTAAATTATTTAGAATAATTGTTAATTTCCAGATTTTAAACTGAAATAAATAGCTAGGATTGACCGGTAATCTTTTTCTTTTATAATTAAACGAAATTTTGATTATAGAGAATTGTTAAACTTGGGAGGTGATTAATTTTTTGTTGCATTCCACTGCATCCTCTATGATAGATCCTCTATCATTTACAACTATATATAATTAAGTTATAATAGTAATTAGTAACCAACTTAATTTGATTATAATAACTAATTTAATTTAGTAACTATCAGTGCATATTAATAAACTCCAGCAATTCTGCCGTCAAGAGTCTATTGTACTTACGTAAATGCTGAAAATCACGTGCAGAAAATACAATAGACATGCTTATGCAGATTACTTGTCACGTCATATCTTTCCGCCGATATATGTACATACCCAGTGATCTCCTCCGTAACAGTGTGCTCGACTTGTAGCCTAGCGTTGACTTCGATAAAGTAGAAATTTCCGGATTCATCGGCCAAAAATTCCACGGTGCCAGCATTCGAGTAACCAACATGCTTCGCCAATCTAACAGCATGTTCTGTCATTTTGTTCCTGATCTTAGGATCTAAGCTTGGCGCAGGAGCAATCTCGACGACCTGAAATTTCCAACATAATTAACTCCTTTGGAATTTAATAAATTTTAGAGAACTACATCAGAAAAGCAAGTAGTCAATCGTTGCAATCATGGTTAAAATATGTAAAAAACTTTTAGGATAAATAATTAACTATTAAGGATCAAGCAACAATTTATTTATTAAATACATATGTATAAAACTTGATTAGTCTCTCCACAATATGTATTTATTTGTCCCCATTTTCTGATGTAGTTTTTTATTCATTTTAAACTGGTATTCCAGAGTTCCTCCACGATAAAAAGTTTTAATAAAATTTCATTCTTCAGTTTCATTCTTCTGCAAAAGATTGTCATGAATTTTACACGCTCAAGGTGGCCTACTTGCTTAAACAATTTTGCGGTCTCGTTTCATTTATTACAATGTTTCACGACAAATATACGTTGAACTAGAATCCTTCAATTACTGTCGTTTTTCTTCTACGCTTCTTTTTTTTTTTTTTCTTCGCATACTTATCCTGTAGTTTTTCAACTCTGTCCCCGTTTTCCTTGCGATATACGAGAACAGCCAAGCAGTAAATGTCATTTAAGCGCATAACAAGTTCTTGAACGACGTGAAGAAATAAGACGGTGATTTTTTTCTTTCGTTATTCCTCGCGAAACATGGTAGTTAGGGCACAACTAAGTAATTATATGAATTTCTAGATTATAGATCTTAGAATTGTAGATTTTTAGATTTGACATTAAAATATACGAAAGGTACGAAAATTACAGAAAATATATATAATTACGTTATAATTAAACAACTTTCCAAAGCAACGAATATTTTTTTATGTCTGTAACAAGAAATATTCTTCATTGGTTCAATTTAGTTTCATATGGTTATTATATCGGCGTTGATCTATTGCATCGTATGATATAATAGAGCCTAAAGATATTCACCAGAATTTTTCAGAGCAATTGATAGTTTTTTATAAAGTCTTTTGTAGACTTACATCAGCAAATTTTTAGAAATTTAAATGGTTTTTCCTAAAACATATAAATACGAGATATTAGAATACAAGATAAGTAAAATATATAAATAAAATATATAAATCTTTGTTGTATTAATTATAAACCTTTTTCCTACTTTTTAACCTTCATTTTTCCAATACTCTATCATCTATGTAGTATCAATTGTACTAATTACATAAAGTCAAAAATGTGACGTTTTCTGAAGAAACTATTATATCTCAACATGATTAGAATCTTAACACAACAAAAAGTGTTTAAAATTAAATTAGAACATCAAAACTTGTTGTACTTAATGAGAAGATTCTTAAAACGAAAAACATTAGATTCTTATAAACGTTTGTTGATATAAATTCTTAAAGTAATCTCTCGTTTCATTCCACTTTGACTTATCGCGCTTCGACCATGTGCTACGCTTCAAAATATTGAGCTTCAATTTGTTGTGTTTCAAACTATTGCCCTTCAGTATTTTTATCGTTTCAATTTATTGCACTTCAACATATTGTACTTCAACATACTATGCTTCACTTTAATGCCCTTCGAAATATTGCGCTTCAATATACTGCATTTCGACGTGTTGCGCTTCAGTTTATTGCACTCCAACATATTGCGCTCCAATTTATTATGATTCAACATATTGCGCTTCGACATATTGTGTTTCAATTTATTGTGCTTCGACATATATATAGTGCTCTATTACACTTTGACATACTGCGCTTCAATTTATTGCGCTTCAATATATTACGCTCCGACATGCTGCGCTTCAGTTTATTGTGCTTCAATATATTGCGCTTCAACTTAATGCACTTCGCATATATTACCGTTGTCATAAAAGAAAATCACCACAAAATAAAGAATCGTAGAAGACTTCTGATGTTTATTAATACCACTTATGAATATATAATATTATATTAATATGCATATTTAAAATGATTCCTTCTGCAGTATAATACTATTTGCAATATAATGCAGATACAATTTTGAATATATAATATAGAATATATACATTTAATTTTATATTATTTTACATAGAATTAAGAAACCAAAAAATTCGTATGATTCATTTTATTGCATGGTTCTGGAATTGAACTTAAATTCAAGAATAATGTTTTTGGAGAATTTGTCCTGAAATTTTGTATGAACTGTTCAAAAACGCAGTAAGAAATTGAAATTTTAATTATCAAAGTTTGTTTGTGAAAAAAATTGTGCAAAATTGAATCAACGAATAATTCTTGTTACAGGCAAGTGGAAAAATATTAAATTCTTATATGGTTCATCTCATGTTCATTCTTCATCCATCTCGACATTAACGATAATGTCAGGAGGGATTTATAAAAAAAATCCTGTGATTAATGATTAAGCTCTTCAGTTGTGAAATCACTTTTAAAGTCATCTTTACAAACGACTAATTCCACGGAAAAATTGATGTTAACGCAATTTGTAATATCTGATACTCAATTGTTTGACTCATCTAGAATTGTATTTATAAATTATATAACATCGATGTTACATAATTTTGTTAACTATGTAACAACAGCTTATATAATAGTTACACCGATGAATTACGTACGTCTCAAATTTAACGTTGCAATTTATTTTCTTTCGCAATGAAAAATTCAATCGTTATCTATTTTCACGAGAAACGGAAGAGTTTTCATTAAATTAATTCCCCGAAAAAAAGTTCGATATTTCTTCACCTAAATTTTATAAAATTCAAAGAAATTCTAACTATATTGTGTGTACACACTTGCTCTTTAATGGATCAAGAAATAAGTGCAATAACTATCAAAGTGAATAAACGATTTTATGAATGGCTACCGTCCACGAATGAGACTTAGAACTCTTCTCGTCTACTGACCTTTTGATGACGACGTTGGACGGAACAATCACGTTCGTAAAGATGAACGACATTGCCAGCCTTGTCTCCCAATAGTTGCACCTCGATGTGCCTTGGCCTCTCGATGAATTTCTCAATGAACATCGCTCCATTCCCGAAAGCGGCTTTCGCTTCCGAGGAAGCACGATCGAACATCTCTCGAACTTCTTCCATTTGTCTCACGACTCTCATCCCTGAGAAAATGCAAGAAACATCATGTACTGTGCGCAGATTTCAAAAATCATCAATTTTAAAGAAATTTGAAACAGGATATTGTAATATTGACACTATCATGAAACGGAAGTGTTTCTTCTTCGTGAGCGTTTATGAAACTTGACACAAGAACTACCAATGAAATGATGAAAATAAGTAACTTTTTAGCAATTTTTTTCGATAGATCCAACAATGATGTATTTTTAGACTTGAATTAGACTTTTTGTAAAGTAAGTAATGAAAAGTTTCTTTATAAAAATAGATCCCTGGTTGTATTAAAATGGAATTTTATAACAGAATAATGTTACTCTAAATGTATGTGTAATTACTGTATGGGATATAGAATTATTTTAAAAATTTGAATTTTTTCCGATTCTCTAAATTTTTCTATTTTATTTTAAACTATTTTGTTTTATTGCTTTATTTTCAATTTTATGCTTTAATGATTGGTAGTTCTAATGTTAACTAATGTTAAATAGCAAGACAATTTTCTGCATATAAATAGAAATTATACATGTACATAGATATAGATATTTCTACTGCAAGTTTGAAATTTAAAATGGAATTACAATTGAAGTAGAAATTTTCGTAGAGATTTGGAATGAAATGAAGAAGAATTTGGAATGGAGATGAAAGTTAAAATTTAAATTAATATAATTCAATTTAAAATTTTTTAATTTAATTTAATTTGAAATAGAATAAATAGTATTTCTATTGAGAATTTGAGAAATGATTCTTTCTTTAAGAATTGTTCGAAATGATTCTTCTTTAAAAATTGTTTACTTTGAAAGTTTCTTGAATTTTTAGATAATTAACTTTAATTAACTTTATGCACATCCTTGCTGAAAATTTTTATTTTCCACGAAGATAATAACGATAATGCATTTTTATTTGTGAACAGCTATCTAATCTGCTGTACAGTTCGCTTCGAGTTACACGAAATGACTCAATTTTAATTTCGTTACGAACACATATTACTTTGCTCATCTCCGAGTCTTGCTAAGTAAGTAATATTTGCAATATAAATATAATCTATGTCTATTCTATTTTGAAATGTGTTAACGTTGCAAAATCATTGAAATAATCGTGTGATATATATGTATATGATATACATGTATAATAATCAATTAGTTTCAAATAACACGTTCGAAACTTTTAAAAAATGCGTGTAAAAAGTACTCGTGCACTCGATGGAAGAAAAATTGTCAAACCTTAAACTTTTATAACTTCGTAAAAAAAAAAATCGTGCAACAAATTTCAAGGAACTGTTGTAAAGGAAAGACTTCAATCCTTAAGATCATGGTTGATTCAGCTATGGAAAAATTTTTTTTTCAGTGTTCATACGTTTGCGTAGATACCTTTTCTCTAGAAAATTTTACAAATTCAAATGCCCTTACGAGCATTGAAAAAATTTCTTAACATAATCAAATTCACAACATAATCTTGAAGATTGAAATCTCCTTTTAAAGATCTCTTTAAAATTTGCTGTATAATTTTCTCCATGGAATTCTAGAAATCCTACTGTTCTTCTCAGTTCTTCATCATGTTGTATCTTTCTTCTTTTACAATATCTCATGCAGAAAATTATATTAAATACTAGTATCAAATATTTAAATTCTACCAAAACTACGTGAATAATAATATCGAGAAGAACATCAGGGTTAAAATATCGACGACTTTTCACGAAGCGCGCGAATAGTTTTTACATCCACTATGCAACATCTTGATCTTCTAGATAAACGAATCATTCAATCCCTTTCTACTTCAAAAAAATCTTCAAAATATTTCTGAATGTTCTTCGATAATTGCTTCACTCTTACGAGGAGTATCACTGAGGGAACCAATAAGAGTTGACGAAGTGTAATTAAGCCTACTCATAAGTCGTACAATAGAGGCAACAAGCATTTCGTGATGAATGAGTGTTCGCGCGAAAGAAGATGAGAACAAAAAGAGCACTAGACATACCAGAAATGAATGCATTCGACGTTGCGCATCCAGGGCATTAGCCTACTTTATCGAAACCTAGTTTTTATTTTCAGACAGAAAATAATCACGAAATAAGGCATTTAATGTGAAAAACCATAGAATATTTGAGTTAATAGAAATAACTTAAAGAAACTTCTCTATTTCTATTAAAATTTATTGATTTAAGAAAAAAAAAAAAAAAAAAAAGAAAGAATAAGATTTGACTATTATTTACTGTTGATAAAGTGGAGATCCTACCTCTTCCACCTCCACCGTAGGCAGCTTTGAATATCACCGGAAGTCCATGTTTCATGCAGAATTCCATCGCTTCGTCAGACGTGGTGACTGGTCCATCTGTTCCTGGAACAATTGGCACTCCAGCGTCTATCGCAGCTTGCCTCGCAGCTACCTAAAAATTTGCATTATTTTTATGTAGAAATCTGCTCATTCTGTGTCATTTGCATTATTTGTACATAGATCAGTTTAATAGATAATAATAGATGGATTAATTTAATAGATTAGTTCAAAAATCTTGCTTTCAATTCTCAATTGGTATTATTCTGAAATCTAGAGTTAAATTATCCGATTTTGGGACTTTTAATCTAATTTCATTTTATTATTTAATTAATTTAGTAACTTCTCTTATGGAGAATGTAAAATGTAAAATGTATTTAAATGTCCCTATAACGGTATATACTAATTGAGGATTAATATTCAAATTAAATTTAGGTTTCACATTTCAAAATGTCTGAAAGAAAATTGCTTTATACGCATAATCTGAAGATCACTTAACCGTGTATACGATAGTAAATAAATTTCTGCAAATTCTTTGTACAAAAGAAATAGTTCTAATTTAATCTAACTTGTGTATTCAAGAAGACTCCTCTTTTGAACTTCTAAGATTAATGGTTTAATCGAAGTTATGCAGAAAGATATCAAACCCAATGATCTAAAATTGAGCTTCATTTCTAGTAGATATATTTCTATTCAATTTTTTTATATCTTTTTAATGTCTTATTTAGTAGCAAATAATATAGACAATAAAGTATAAAATGAATAGACAAAACTAAAATGGAATTGTGAACTTGATGGTTTTGACAACTGTATAACGAATTCTTTACAAAATGAAACTCACAAAATTATAGAAACCGTATTTGTGTTAGATCTTTTGTCTTGACAATCAGAGCACCCGAATTATAACCCGTCGTAAATGATAATTTTGTTAAAAAAATCTTCGTACCTTGTCACCCATTTGTTGGACAACTTTCGGACTGGGACCGATGAATCTTATTCCAGCATTGATCACTGCCTCCGCGAAATCCGATCGCTCGGAGAGGAAGCCATAACCAGGGTGAATGGCGTCCACATCGTTCTCCTTCGCGACTCTGATGATTTCCGGAATACTTAAATAAGCCTGGACAGGAGGAAGCCCTCTGCCAACCACGTAACCCTCGTCCGCTTTTTGCCTGTGCATCTGCATCTTGTCCTGTTCGGAATAAATGGCCACCGAACGGATTCCTAGTTCGGTACATGCTCGAAATACACGAATGGCAATTTCTCCTGTAAGAATGATAAGTCTATTTTGTTACAGCGGTACGTGTTTCTAGAATTTGCTTTCATTTGTAGAATTTCTATTTCTATTTCTATTTCTAGTTAGCATCAGAAATTTTCATACAGTCGCTGTTATTAATTAACACTATGCTCAAAAGATTACATTGATTGGATCATTCAACATTTTTTCTTATAAAATTATTGTCACGATATAAAATTGGACATATCTATATTTATATCTGATAATGCACAATTTCAAAAGAAATTTAATTTATTTACTGTTAGTAAAAGAATTCATTAATTTAACTTTTTATTGTAGGTATTAATTTTTTACCAGCATGTCAATTTCATACCATAAGTTAAATTGGAAAAATGACAAACGAATAAGAATTAGAACGCTTACTGTTGTAAAAAAAAAGGCGTAAAATAATTCGGATCAACAAATTGATTGATTAAACAGATTAAAAATAAATAAGATACACATAAATTTTTGTGATCCTGTGCGTCATCATGAGATTTAATATTTCTTGAAACATTCAATTCTAAAACTCATTTCATCCGGTATTCATTATCCTCTGTGAGGATTTCCGTACACAATTAAACAGAGTGTTTGTTCGATACTCGAAATTATGAAATTCCTATGCTGATTTATCGCATAGTCAGTCTTGTTATAGATAATGATTGAGACGCTTCATTATCAAATGCTCATTAAAGATAAATGTACATACGTATATACTTGCAAAGGATTTATGAACGTGAGAGCATTTACCGTTATCAAGATGAAATATTCTACGTTTAATTTTGTAATTCTCATATCGCATGAAATATCGTTTCAACACGTGAATGTTAATAATTTGACACGGACATAATTTTTAACAATAATTCGCATGAACACAATTGTAACGTTAAAATATTTAGACTGTTCTCACGTTCTCTTGAAAAATTATTTTAACACATTATTTTCTTTCATTTGTATTAAACTGAGTTGATCGAAATAGTAAATTGTTATTGAATACGTGCGAAAAAAATGAGTGAGGAGTATAGTATGTATATTGATAACATTGATACGATTAATGTATTATTATATAATTAAGGAATTCATTGAAGCAATTCGAAATAATGTATTTTTTTTTCTTTTTTATCAATGCATTTGTTCACAATAATAAGAAAGAACTTACAAGACACATTTATAGTGTTAAATATATGCATGGACGATATTCACAAACCAAACAGATTAACTTTAGTTTTTGAATATTTTTAAATTTTATATTTTTGATATGTTAAATTTCATATTTATAAATATATTATATTTTAAGTAATAAATTTTCTTTAATAAGTAGACTTAACACTAAATGACAAAACTTTTTTTGGCCACTGAGTGACAATTAAATAATTCCAGAAGTCAATGTGATTATATTATATTTAAAAATAAATTGCATTTTGCATGTATGTAAAATAAATTATGCTTGCAGTAATACATTCTACAATGTTTATCTGAATCTAAGAGGAATCTTAAAAAAGAAAGGAGTCTTAAAATATACTATTTTATCAATTTCTTCATTTTTTGTTTGAGTTATGTTTTACTATAAAACTAAACGAACAAGAATGTCGTTTTTTGACTTGTCGTTTTTCACTTTCATCGCAATTCTTTAATCTAAAAACTTGAATTTTTCCTATTAACAGAGTATGATACTGAGGAAGGAGTTTTATTTTTCTTTTAGAAAATATATATTATTCATTACCATGAAGATACGTTATCCTATTGATTGATTATTAAAGAATTCTGTTATCAAACGTAGACACAATACTCGCCTTGCATCAATTCGCTCTATCATCTCGTTCTGATTCGTCAGTCGATCAACATTTCCACCATATAAATGTACTCGGTCATGAAAATCTATGTTTATTTTAAAATTACAAATATTTAAACAAAATCGAGAATTTCATAGACACTAATTTTAATTATTACTCAAAATTATACGAAAAATTTATTGACAATATAAATATACTCAGCCATGAAAATTTACGTATATTTGAAAATTTTAAATATTTAAAGAAAATCGAGAATTTTACAGACGCTAATTTTAATTATTAGTTAAAATTACATTAGAAACATTTTCTAATGGAAAAGATGAATAAGTAAAAAGTATGAGTAATGAGATCTACTATACTATGGGTATATCAAAATATGCAATAAGTGTTTTTATTATTATTGCAACTATAATCAGAGAAAGTTCTTTTTATTCCTTTTATTTAAGATGTCCAAAATTCTTTCTTTTCTGTTTTAAACATTTGAAATTTGATAGATATACGATAATTCCTATTAATATTCAAATGTCATGATGCTGGGGAGATCATTATATTATTTATCATAGTCTTATTAAATTAATTGTTTTTCACTGTATTAAAACATTTGTTACGGTTAATAGAAATAGAAATTTCATTTATTTAATGCATATAGTTTTTTATATACGACAGATATACACTGTAGATATGTACATCTTTAAAACTCTTTCACTAAATATCGTCAATTCTTTACATTCAAATATTAATTACTAAAAATAATTGAAAATAAATTCCTACGAATAGTAAAATGTGATAAATTTTCAATATTGAATTCCAAAAGTGCGATAATTTTCGAGAATGAAAGGTCAGGCTTATAAAAAAGAAATAACATTATTGACAATCTTTCGATCATTGATAATCTTAAATGAAAAAGGAAAAGCAAAAAATACATTATTTAATTGTGAAATCTTTAACTGGTTTATCATTAGTGGGTCAGTTACGATTCAAGCTAAAGATAGACACGTGAATGGCTTGACTTCGAACTGACAAAGAGATATTGAAAGATAACAGTACACAGAACTTTAGTTGTAAACAAATGAAATGGAAAAATTTGACAAGTGTAAAAAATTTAACAAACTTTACTTTTCGGTCCATCGATATTTCATTTCAGAGATATTATCTTTTTATTAACGTTTTATTACTTTGTATAATATTGTTTCTCTTTCTTTTCATATATATATATATCACTTATACGTAATAGTACTTCTGATAAAATAAAAATATGTAATGTAATTTTAATCGTTTTTTTTTTTGTACAAAATAAGTATTATGCAAATACATTAACAAAAATAGAAAACAAAAACAGATAGAAATAATTATTGTATTCTCCAAATTCTGAGCAATTGCATTATTTTCACCTCAATGAGTACTTTTTTTCTAAATATATAAAATTTGTTTTCACTCATTTTTTCTTACATTCGTAGATTTATCGCCCTGCAATGTTATTCATATCAAATACTGAAAAACAATTTTTTCCAAATTTTCTTTACCCCTGACCTCAATCAATTAATTTATATCCACGAACTTTGACATGAATTTCTTGCGTATCTTTCTAAATATATTTTGCTAAAGAGCTGAACCACATGCTTAAAATATACACTTATCGTAATCTTATAACATAATAAATCCACAAAATGAATTGCGAAATACGCGTCGTGCGTTGTACAGAGAAGAATAAATATGATATTCATCGTGTATGAAATAGAAGATTTTCGAGATCGTAAGAAAAATTGAAAAAGAAGAGAAAGAGAGAAAGAGAGAGAGAGAGAGAGAAAACGAAAGCTCACCTCGATTGGCAACCAGGACGCTCCTGATAGGTTTGTACTGAACATCTGTGCCGAAACATCTTCTTGCAACTTTGTACACTTGCAACACGTTCCTATGTTTGACCAATGAGTACCTAACACGCGAGGAATGCATCTCTATGATCTAGATTCGCAACACCTTCACTAAATATATCAATTTACACTGTTCGATTGAAATTCAATATACTCTTAAATATACTATATATCGAATTAATCTTTGTCAGATATCTCTTTCGAAGTTTCCCTCAACAATATCACGTTCTTTCAACGAGAAGCCACTTTCGTACCCGCGAAAAATCTTTCGTACCTGCGCGCGTAACAGGGAAAATATGTATCTTTCTTCATGCAACGCGAAATTTATCACTATTTATCACTCGTATAACGACTTTTGCACAGGTCTCGATGTGTCGTGAAAGTTCAGCTCGAACGGTTGTGGAAGTTGCACCTCGTTCCTTATCGAGAGTCCGACGTGGAGTGATTGCCAGGTTCCTGAAACAATAGATATTCAAGTTCGCACGTGATCAAACAAACCCGTGCAATTAACGCATGAGAGGGTAGAAATATTCGAAACAGAAGAAGTCTCGACGTCGTCTCGAGTTTATAGTTGGTCGAATTGTTAAATATTCTGGTGCAAATTGTTGCGATCGTCGACAGGCACACCTGGACGATGTTTGCCTCGAATGACGAAACATCGAGTCTTATCTCTCAATTGTTATAATTATTGAACATCAGTGATGTGTGATTGATTTTTCACGAATCTAAAGAAAAAATTGTTAAATTAATTGATTAATAAAAAAAAATCATTATTACTTTATTATTGTTATTATTATTGCTTTATTATTATTATTACATATTAATAATAATTAATAATCTTAATTATTTATTGCGATTATAGGTATTGTAATATGTACTTTCTTAACTATAGGTGTGCCTAATCTTATTGAAGGACTTTATTTTGCAAGCTTCGCTGAACGATGTTCTAATCATAATGGAACATCGTGAATGATATAATTCCTTAGATTGTAAATCGCAATGTTAATCGAACGTGACAAAAAAAAATCAGCGGATTTGCTTGCGATGAAAATATTTTCGATTAGGAACGATCGCTTGATTATCAAATACGACAAAACGTATGAGTCTTCTCATTCTACTATGTTGTCAATAAACTATGTACAACATGCAAAAGTATAAAATATACAAAGTTGATGTACCTACGTAAAATATTGTATAAAAATATAATATTTATTAAAATTTAATATTTATTTACTGTATAAAATATTTATATGAAAATATAATATATATAATATAATATATATTAAAATTTAATATTTATTTACTGTATAAAATATTTATATGAAATTCAAATGTTTTCTGCAACATTTAGCAAGTAAAACAGATTTAGATCTTTTATTTATTCGTGTAAAATATAAAAATATTACACGAATATCCACAGTGTAGTTCATCAAATTATAGTTTTTCTTTCAACGAGAAGCGGACGATGTTTGTTTCTAATGAGAAAACATCGATTGTTATCTCTTAATTATTAATTAATGACTGTTAACGATATGTATAATTGGTTTTTTAGGAGTACAACATCTAAAGACTTTTCTCTGCCAGATATTTGTTAGTCGAGGAATTGATAATGAAGAATATTAATATTCGATAAAATTCCATTGACTGATAACATGCGATAACAAAAATATCAAGAACTGATTGATATTGAGAATCGATTGACATTGATTGATTAATAAATAAAACTTTCAATTATTAATTATTCTCATAATTATTATACTATGTTACATTCTTTTTGAAGAATCCTTTCAAATTATATTCTGTTAAACTATGTATATAATATAATATACCTATCACATATATATCCTTTTCAAAGGAGAAACTTTAAATTGTTCGTCGCGCGACAGTCTGACCGTAATGAAATGAAACATCGTGAGTCATACAGTTTTTCAAATTACAGATCGCGATGTCAATCGAAACGAACGTGACAGAAGATCGATGGATTGCTTATAGTGACGAAAATATTTTCGACTAGGGACGATCGCACGACTGGCGATAGGGCCAAACACGATGAGAAAACATACGAGCCGATTATTCAAATATGAAACCGAACTTGTATTTCTCCGACCTTCGGTAGCGTACTTTGAATCCGGCGGTCATCAACATTATTACACGATACGTTCCTCTTATAAATAAATAAAGCCTCTTTATTAAGGTTAAAGTCTCTTCTGAATATATTGCCCCGATTGCTTACGAAGCGTAACGATGCCTATCAAGTAAATTAAAATGGTAAATTAATTTTAAACGAATGGCCCGAGCAAACATATTATATTATATTATTAGATTATTTAGTTACATATTATATTTCATGTGAATTTGATATATTTATGTATCATCATATAAATTATGAATATGGATTTTGTAATAACATAAATGCAATTTCGATGAGTCGACCGATGCTGAAGAACTTTCCTATAAATTTTGCCTTACAATTAGAATTAAAACTAATTTTGTTATAATAAATTTGTTAATAACGAAGATATTGTTAATGAATAAGTATTAAGATGTTGTTATATTTTCCAAAAGGCTTGTTTTCCAAATGTATACAATCGATCATCAAAGGTTAGATCCGTAAATATCATACGTTTAAATTAAAACGATGAATTATAATCATTTTATTAACTAATTTATTTACTAGCTAAAGTTATGTTTTTATAGTTGCATTAGTTGAAGTACTGGTTGTAAAGTTCTAAAAAGAGTTGCTCGTCAGAGAATAATAAAAAAAAAAAACACGAATAGATATACTAACAGCGTACAAAATGTATAAAATACGTCCTTATTATTTCTAGTTTTCGTAAGATCTTCTTTCAAGCATGTTGCAAGAAATATATTAAACGTGTGCAACATTTACAATACTTATTGTTAACAAGTCCTAAACACTTTTTTGAGCAAGATTGGGCCATTTCGAGGCTCATGCTTGAATTCACGAGCGTCAGAGAAATTTAAATTTGCCTCTAACAAGTAAAACACTAACACAGATAATTGCATAACAAAGCGTGCAACGTCAAGAGAGATTACTGCGTTTTGTTTTTCCGACTTTCTGTATTCTCGGCCGATAAGGAATCGTTCGCACGATAAATGGAAACAAACGTTTAAAGAGCTGGAAAGATAAACGTCACCGGTGGAAACCGATGGAAAGGAAAACGAAATACGTGTGTGTCACGTTTTTATGATTCTACGAAGTTGGTGCCAGTTAATTATTGCAACGACTTTTATCGTTCTTTGACATTAGAGGTTCACCAGAACTTACGTAACGCGTAGACTATGAACCTCAGACGAGACAATAATTTGCAATCGTCCTATCGTCGATTTATGCATAAATTTATGTGACCTTCTTGAGTGGAAAGAGATAGCTTTGCTTTACTCGAAAATAGTAAACAAAAAACAGTTGTAATTTCTAATTAAACGATCGATTCTTTCATTCTATTTGTTGATTTTTTTTTCTTTTTTTTTTTTGAGTTGACAGCAAATGTGAAAAACTTATATACAATTTTTTTAGTTTAATTAAACACGTTCAATGCGATTTCTACAATTTCCCAGAATTTTTTCAATTCTTTTCTTTTTTGCTTAATTGTTCATTATTCGATTGACTGATATTTATTTATTTATTTTATGCTAATTTAATGAGAAATAATTGAAATACATTGTGTCGATCTCGCTCTGAACATGTTAATCCTAGATTTTTAAAAAATTTCTATCATTTAATTGTCTTTCAATTTCTAGTTTAGTTAATCCTTCTACCGTTTATCTTGAATGATTTTCGCAAATCATGATTTGTTATTTTGTAGTTTCCAGTTTCGTTAAATTCTGAGAAAATTCACATTTACTGATTTAATTGAAAATAGCAAAAAAGAAATATTCAGTTCAGCTAATTCGAAACACGTAATTTTTAGTTTGATCGAGATCCTCTTACTGAATTTTGAAAAGCTTTCTATTACTCTCGAAAACACCAAACGTAAAGTACTCATAATTTTCTGCTTTCATTGAATTTGCAAAACTTCGACATCTTTCACCACGTATCTATAATAATCACTTACTATTCGTATATTTTATTTCAAAGTCCACTTAAAATGTGAGAGATTTCACCGAAAATATTTCGTAGATATCATTTCTTCACTGTGTAGTAAAATAAAACGACTCGAAACAGAAGATCACGAAATAAATTTAACACTAAAACAGCAAGTGAAAAGGCGCGCATCGAACTACTGAACAACACGAAACGTAATGTTACGATGTTCAACGTAAACTAGAAAGACTTTTATTATGAAAGAAATGCTTCGATGTTGAGCACATTTCACTCAGGTATAAAGGTGCGTGCGCATTCGATTTAGAAAGGATCATTTCACACGGTGTGTGCGCCTGTGTGAAACACATTATTATTAAATGTGAAAACGCACTATGGCCCCTTAACCCCTGTGCGCGAGAGGGATGCCATTGAATTTTGTCCTTCGTCGTCGACGAAGAAAGGCCGTAAAAGAATCATGTTTACTTTGAAATTATATTTTACGTATTCAGAGAAATAATCAGTCCAAAAAGTCTATGTAAAAGTCTATGTAAAGAATTTTTTTACAGAGGGAATAGAAAAGTAATTAAATAAGAAGATAGACAAACGATTGAATAGAGAAGCAATTGGATGAAAAAATAATAAAAGATGAAAGAACTTTTATATATCATTGTTGCAGTTCATTTCATCTATTATAAGTAGCTAACATAAAGAAAATAATTTATATTTATCGTGTATAGAGATCCATTCATTGAAACAGAAAACCTCTGAATAATATCATAATTCTTAAAACATTGTGAATCACATTTGACAATGTTGAAACTGAGCCAGAATGTAACAGAGTTATAAATAGAATTGTGTTATAACATTAAGCTCCCTCGAAAACCACAAAGCAGGTATATAAGTATGTATGTATATAATGATTCGTGTCATTGACACGAATGATGACACGATGTTGCGGTTATAACAAGGAACGTTACATAAGCGAAATATTTAATATTTCAATATTTCCTCAACTTCCTAATTTTTTCCTTTTCTCG